CAGTTTTCTGATTTAACGATTTCTATAATTAACAGTCATAAAAAAAACCATGAAGGGTTTATATCTTGCCAAAGTAACTTGATTGATTGATAGGTGGCGTTTCAAGCTAACGTTCTTCATTAGAACTAAATACAGAGGAACCCTTGTCAATCGAAGTGAAAATCCATAATTGAGGAGTGTATATGGTCGGCAACAACATATATATTCTTTTAAAGGAATCAAGAGACTCAAACCTTGCCACATAATATTTTCCTCACCATTACACCAAACGAGTAAAACATGTAAGTCATTGAACAAATGTAATGTTTGTGTGTACATACATTATTAAGTTTATAATGGATTATATTAGTTTTATATAAATGACTTTTCTCTCGTGTCATGATAACATGATTTAAACTTCGATGATGTTCCTTAATAATAATAAAAATGAACAAGAAACTCCTATTGATATTGAACATATTCACCAACAATGTAGGATGCTAAATTCCCTACTTAAAAGCTATAGTAGTGCATAATCCAGTCATCTTATTATTGACGAGACTACGAAATGAAGTTGAAAACAAATAACACTTAAAACTTAGAATAAAAGTATGCATCAGAACTATTCATATCCATTAAATTAATTTAAAAACTTTTGATGGATGATATCATAAATTTTTACGTGAACTCAAACATTTGCTTGCAATAACATATAAGTTAGTTTACCTAATCTTTCTTGCAGTTTTAGAGGTGTCTAAAGATAGAATGCTGTCCTATAAAAATTCCTTTCACCATTATTTCTGAGACAAATTACAATTTTCAGATTGCATGATATATATATATACAAATATATACTCGTGCATAATGAAATGTAAATATATTTTTTCTTTGTTTATCCCTAGAATTATCGTTGAAGTACAAATGGGTCTTATCTTTTTAAATGCATTCTTCTAAACAATTTACCCACCAAATTCGTTGTGGGTAAAAAAACTCGAATTAATGTCATTTAGTAAACTTTATAAAACGCTGAATCGGTTGTATTTTGTATTGGAAGAAAAAAAGATTAAAAATCGGCTTTCTGCTGTCTACTAAAAAATATATTAAGGCATCTTAATAACGATTACTATTTATGCAATGTAAAACAGTGTCAGGATATTTTTCAAGCATTGTATGTATGTGTGTGTGTGTGTGTGCACAAGTGACAAAGGTATTAAACAAATTTACAAATGGTTTTTGCATGGTCTTGTAGTTAGAGCATTCAACTCGCAATCTGCGTGTTGAGGAATCGAAACCTGTCACCGAACATGATCTCCATTTCATCCTAGGAGCATTATAATGATACAGTCAATCCTATTATTCATTGGTTAAGAGTAGCCCAAGAGTTGGTGTCTGGGTAGTGTTAATTAACCGCCTTCCTTCTGGTAAATAATTTCTAAATTAGAAACAACTAGCCCTCGAGTAGATTTGCACAAAATTCAACAAACGAAACACATGCATATGGTCTAAAATGAAGAGGTCAAATTAGTACCTGACCATCCCAGATCCACATGGATCTAAATCCCGAAGTAGAATACGAGTCGAAAATGACTACAAATTAAAAGCAGAGGGAATTTGAATGTGATATTTAAAATTTATTGGGCTTGTTTTTTTAAACCACAGTGTTTGAATGCTGTTTCAGTGATACACTAAAAAATTTACAAAGGTATGTCACTTTCTAAATGTACCTTACATTATATGTTAATCTTTGTCTAAAGAACTTTAAGTGTCAGTATATAAAAGAAACTGATTTAAAAAGTTTATTTTCCATTTTTTAAAATTAAAACAGTTTCTTTAGGTTTAAATATTTTATCTATGTCTTACTCAATGTGCAAAAGTAAATGACCATATAACAACCTACATTTTCCTCTTTAAACTTAAACTTAAAACAGATGATAAATCATTTACTGCCATCTCAGGTATAAATATCATCGTAAATATAATTTACCATTTGATGGTACATTTTGAGATTAGACAGTCTCTAGTGTAGTAACATTGCTATGTTTTCTTTTCTGTGTTGATTTATTTCTAATTTGAATTTTAAGTTGTATTCGGGTTTGCAAGCTCCTTGGTTTTCTACTTCTATTCTAGTACTACTAGTATTACAAGTAGTATTGGTGCAGTGTACCAAGGTGCTTTAGTTTATGACCAAATTAATACTTTTGTCGTATGGCTTACATGATGAAGTTTTATACTGTTTAAATGTTTTATTTTATATGTCCAAATCCCATGTTTGTGTCTTTTAATTTTATATATTTTTTGTTAGACTTATCCGTTAATTTAAAACTGATGAATTCAGCTTGGACTTGGAGTTCTAAATCAGTAAGTAAATCGAAACAAAGATAAAAAAATTATTGGAAAATATATAGCAAACTCATTTCATACATTGAACACACACTGGCTAAACCAACTTTAAATTAAAATTTAAAATAATAACTAACGTAAATTTGTGATTGTGATTTGTATCCATGAAATTTTTCATGATATAACCTGAATATCTGTTATACTGAATCAGTGAATGCACCCTTTTGTTTTCCTTTTGGTCAGTAATCCATTTTGTGTTTTGTTATTGGTGTGACATTTGTTTCTTAAGTTACAGTAAATTATAATGCATATGTAATTAGGATTGTAATGTAGAATTCATTAATAATAAATTTATGTTGCATTATAATTTTTGCTTAGCTAAAAACTTAAGGAAGAAGGAACTCTTCAGAGAAATAAAAGTTACAGTATGTATATAGCACTGTTTGTGTACATGTACATCATGTCTTGGTTCAGAGAAATAAAAAGTTACAGTATTTATATAGCACTGTTTGTGTACATGTACATCATGTCTTGGTTCAAGTACAATTTTTTATACTGCCTTGAGTTCAAAGAAAGTCATCAAATTGTGTAAGTGTTTTGTGTGTACAATTTACTTATTTGTTTGTTTCTTTACTATAACAGGCTGTTACCTTCTAAGTTAGTGTTTAAAACTTACAAGAAATAAGTAATCTGAAGGGTAAGAAATTTTGGGAGAAATATTAACACATTCTTAGCCATGTGTGCTAGAACTTGTTTCATAAAGATATTGAAGATTTCATCATGCAGGTAAGAACTTCAGCTGGTAAAGTACAAATAATACAATTCAGATTTTAACAGTTATTGTATTTATTAATGAATAATTTATTCAATATTAAACACAGTCAAAATACATCTAGAATGCTTTTTTTTACTGATTTATAGTGTAAATAATGTGTTGTTGCATCTAAGTGTAAAAAATGTGTGTTTCATGAGTCATCCAAATTCATTCCACACATGCATTGGCCATGGCTATTAGTTCTTGTACTATACATAGGCAATTTTTTATAGGACTGTCAAACCTATTTCAACAAAATTGAATTGACTTTAATAAAAAACTTAAATTACAATCTTGGATTACATATTAGCAGATTAACATATTGAAGTAATAAAAACTAATTAACAGATGGCTATAAGTACTCAATGGTCACTCCACCTACAGTTTTTCAGCATTGATAAACCAAATGCTTACTAAAAGATATAAAGCACAACATTATAAAATATTATTTACAATTTTCTTTTCTATATGCTAGACTGTGGGAATGTACGTTTAGTTCCAGAAATACAGAAATCAAGCTCCTTATGTTAGTTTCAATGTATGCCACCATGAGGAGCCTCTAGTGCTAATACAGGACAGCCATTTGTCAAAAATTAAGATTTATTTTATAGGCATCTAATATTTCAATAAATGTTTACTACTGCTTCTCATTAGCTTGATAGATGCATTCATGATAAACTGGAAAGATAAAATGCTTTCAAGAATAGTGAGCATATAGAGGAGAGTAAGATGCTGTGTGGTTAACATGTGAAATATATTGAGTGCAAGTCCCTTGTAGCAGCTGTCATTTGTAACATTCAAAAAATAAAAGAACAAAGGCAAAGTTTAAATATGAGACTAAGCTTTAATAATGTTCATAATGCTTGTTTTCTCCACTGTTTTCCTAACTGGGAGATGTTGTGAGTAGTTAGTGTTTAAACATTACTTGATGTAATACAGTTAATACTATCATAAAAGTGTGGACTTTAATGAAGCCAAACTTCTTCAGTATGTTTTAGCTTTCTATTTAAATATTATCCTTCCAAACAATTTATCATATTATAATAATGTTTAAACTATCCAAGCAATGCATGCACTGTTGCTAGTGGCTGGGAAGTAGGATTTTAGGTTGTATCAAAAGAAATAATGAATACAACTCTAAAGAGGTTATAATTTCATTATATAGCTTATTGGTTAGGCCTCATATAGAGTATTGTGTTTATTCTTAGATATCTTACCATAAGAAAGACATTGAATTGTTGGAAAAGGTTCAGAGGAGGACTACTAGATTGATATCTGGGATGGAAAGGTTGTCATACAAGGAGAGGTTAAGATCTCTGAAATTGTTTCCTCTTGAAAAAAGGAGAGTTAGCAGGTATCTGACTGGAGTGTTTAAGATTATTAAGGGAATTAATAGTGTTGATACATCATCTTTTTTTTGTACTTAATGGTGAGAATGGTAAGGACTAGGGGACACAGATATAAATTTTGGTAACATAGGAGTTATTTTCAGCTAAGACAGTTTTATTTTTCTAATAGGGTGGTTTGCCTTTGGAATGGATTGCCTTCAGCTGTGATGGATGCAGTTAATTTAAGATAGTTTAAACTAAAGGAAGGCTTGATAAATATTTGAATTATAAGGGGTAGCTTCAAGTGTTTTATTTGTAAGTTTAATTTACAGGATGGAATGGCCTAGATGGACCAACAGGTCTCTTGTCCTGAAATTATATGTACATTATGTATGCATATGTATATTAAACAAGAAACCTCAAGTGGTATTTTAAACCATTATGCAATATTAGCCTTTTTATACTAAGTGTTACTTGTAGGCTAGTCTTTAATGTTATGAATTATGTAAACCACACTTGTTTATTATATGATTTTTTCATACCACAAATAGCTCTTACTACTTTGACTGACGTTTATGTTTTTATTGATTTACAAGTCATTCTTACCTAATTCATATTTTAACTATTATTTTAGTTGATTTTTAATTTAATTTGGTATTAAAACCATTCAGGACTACACTAACTTTTTATCCAACCTTTTAGGTGCATACATTAGAGAAATAGTTCATTTATTTGTTTCAAGAAATTAGTTGTATGCAAGATTCAGTACATTGCTTAGTGAAAATTGCTTCATAACTTATTAATTTAGTTTGTTTTCTTTGTCAGATCAATTTTTTTCACAACACAAAAAGGAAGGAAAAATCAAACTTATTTAATGAAGTTGTATAAATTAAACTTATAAGATATGTAAAAAGGCTATGATAACAGGTTTTAAATTCATTGTTATTTAAACTAATGTTTTCCATTAATCATTCTAAAACAGTAACAAGACTTTCTGGAACTTATTTGTGTAACAGTGTAAATTGGTCTACAACAATGCAATTTTCTGTGGGAATGTGAATAATACATAAGGTTCAAAGAGGAATTACATTTGACAGCTATATTTCACACCTTGTACTATTTTAAGTATGGTAGTACTTAATAGTAAAGATCGACAAGGATTCCAAATAATTCACATGTCAAAAAATCACCCTATCGAATTCCCAAGCCAAAAACCAACCATTCAAAGTATTGATTACAATCTATTACAATATAATAATAATATGCTAAAAAGGTCTCTAATATTTCAGTATAATAATTAAAAAATTTCTAAAACAGCAGCTTTTTCCTCTACTACCTACCTACTTGGTCACATCAATGGGGTTAGTGCCTAGACAGCTCAAGTGATCACTACAAGATTTCTCCAGCTTACTTGACTGGTCTGTAGGTATCCACTCTTGATATTCCAATAAAAATCCACATATATATATACAGGTAAAATATAAAGGGTAAACATATCATGCACGTACTTAAATATTTTCCCAACTTAATTTTCCCCCAATGGATGGCACTACATATCAATAAATAGACATGCAACAGTTTCTAAAGATAAAGTATATTCTTTATACAGGTATAACATTAAAAGTAAACAAAGAAGAGTATTAAAAAATTATGATTTTTAAAATAAAGTAGGGATTTTGCTATAAAAGTAATGAAAACAAGAATTAAAACCACAATCACAAATTTATAAAATTTAATACTTATTTTGGCAGCTTTATACACTTATCTGCAGGCCAAAATAAGGATTCAATTTTATAAATTTGTGATTGTGGTTTTAATTCTTGTTTTCATTACTTTTATAG